ATATATAGACTATATATATAATATATAGACTATATATATAATATATATATAGACTATAATATATATATAGACTACAGAATGGATGACGTAGCACCACCCTTTTTGGCAAACTAGAGCTCTCCTTCCGGAACTGGCAATTCCTTCATAACGCGAAGAATTGAATTTGCTGTTTGGGTGCATATGATTGACTAGCTATCACGGGGTCCTACAATGGTGCTACTGTATTTATGGGAAAGAGCCTGCGCTCTTGTGCCAAACTCTAGGCTGCTAGCATGCAGGACCTGCTTCAAATGTATTTCAATTTCAAGAAACGTCTAAGTTAGATGTGCCGTGCATAGGCATAGTTTGACTCGAATCAGTGAAAAATGTCACGACCCTCGAACATCTGCGGTCACCGTACGCGCTCAGGATCTTGACCTTTTCCTTGGACTTGCTTTGGGAGAAGTTGGTGCTTTGGCTGAGAAGCACCTCCAAATCACCAACAGATTCCCCCAAGACCGATTCCATTAAAACAAAACGTTCAGTTGGGGAACATATCCGATTTGTTGAAATAACAATTTACATTTCATTGTTGACAATTATGTGTGTAATGGTGCGCATGTTTATCTTTATCTCGAGTTGAACCTATCAAGTGCATCAGTATCAAGTCCAAAAATCAACAGACGTACTTGACCAGAATCAGTGCCTTGACCCACCTCCACCCTAATACCTCCACCCTAGTAGCAATGGCCTCCAACCAACGGTCACTCCTGCGATCAGTCACGGAGTCCCCGAGTCCACTCCGGACGAGTCCGCCGGACTCAGCGGAGTCGCGGGCGAGCGGTGGGCGAAGACGGAATGATCGTTTTGGTTGTCCAGCGTTCTTTGCGAAGACGGGTCAGATGGGTTTAGTACATCTTTTGGGGGTGGTTTGAAAGGTTTTTAGAAGGTTACATGATGAGTTTTTACATGTCAAGTATGGACATAGGGATCGTGGCCATAAAGGGAAATGAATGGTGGCCATTTCCGTGGGCTTTGGGCCTGTTCCTTCTTTTGCTCCGACGGAACAGCGACGAACCGGCGGGGTTTGGACCCAGCGCCATCGTCAGGCCAAGCGCTTCTTCTTGATGGACCGGGTGTTAACGATGTTCAACTGCGTGATCTTTGTCTTGGCCGAATGTGGCCTGGCAAACTGGATGTGGCACAACACATCGACATACAAGGACATACAATGACCGCATAGTTTTTAGCATTCAATTTAAAATTAAGGAAGACATTGACATGGCCATATGTGGTGCCCGGATAGCCAGCATGATTTAATTAGATCGTTGGGATTTATATACATATATTAAGTTATGTATGTGTTTTCTTTGAAGGGTCATCTCTCCACTAAGTGATTCATCATGTTCCATTTATCCATCCAACCTCTTCCCAAGCCCTAAGTGCATCTCCGCTGTTTTGGCCCACTCCGCCAGGCTTGTTGAACCAACCTGACTGGATCGTTGACCCCACGAAGCCGGGCGGCAAAAAATGGTGCCCGCTCAAACCGCGGCCGCGCGGTTTTGGGGGATCAATCTGTCAAGCTGCTTAAGGAAGGCTTGACGCTTCATAGGTGGAATCATGTGGATTCAAAGGAGAGATGCCAGGAAAGATCACATCGAAGCTTCAAGTTTGGAGTGTCAGAAGCTTGGAGATGCCTGTTCGCTTGAGCTTGTGTAAACGTATCAAAATGACTCATTACCTGGCGGTGCTTCAGCTTCCTCAAGAAACGATGACCAAAGTGGCCAAAGATTGACCACACAAATTGCCGGTTCTATCAGGTTGTATCCAATATTATGGCTTTAGTCATCATTGGTCCCTGCCGGCTGTCACAGCATCATCACTATTACTGGTGCCGGAGCATGCTCACGAGCTCTCAGCATCATAGCAAGTACAACTTGAGCCGGCGGCCGGGCTGGCCTAGCTGAGGATGTCGAAGGTCATTGGTGGTTTCCGATTTCTGGTCTATACCATTGGCTTCGGCCGATTGCTCTATTGGCACTGCTGCCAGTTCTACAAGGGCTACCGCCATGGAGAAGCTTGGCAACACGGAGGCGCTGTGTTGGTTGCACTTCATCAAGTTAGAGTGAAAGATGCGTAGAGCTCTGTGTTTGCGGACGCCCAAGACAAGAGAGGGACAACCATCCCGAACAAAAGAATTCCTTTCTTATGTCTCACGCGTATAGGGAGCTGTAAGTGGGGCAGCCATTGGTGAAGCTGGAGCAATTGCGTACCACCGGGCTAGAAGACAGGCTTGTTTGTTGAATGTTGTGGATTTCAAGAACCGTCCCGTCAAACCGTCAAAGGGGGAACTGCTGAGAACAAGTAATTACAGATGTTCACTGTCCATTTTGTTTGTTCGTCATGGGACGGCCCAGAAGTGTTGTGATCAACGGTTCACCTCCCCGTTGTATGACCAACATCTCAAAGCTTTCGGAATTCTCTACCCAGCTGGGTAACAAGTGAATGAGTCCAGGACCTTGTAAGCCCGAAAAGAAACAATAAGAAGCAGGCATCGATGGCACAAAGGTTCCACGGCGTTATTTTTTCTATGATCAGGTATGACAAGATAAGAGGATGATAAGGTGTTGTGCAAATCAGGTCCTTTTCGGATCAGCCGAAAGCCATGAGTTACCATGAGTCAAGCACTACCTGAAAGAGAAAATGGACAACTCTAGGTGGGGCGAGCCACTACTCCACTGCACTCGGGAAGGAACCCGTGTGCTCCGCAGTCTGGAGAGGAACCAAGCGAGGTGAGCTAGGGTGTGGTTTGGGGGGTAGCCCGAACAAAAAATCCGAACTCTCAAACGACCTTCAGGAATCCCATAACATATAATTACCACATATCACATATGGATGGACCCATGCACATCCTCTAAGATCCGCTTCAATCCTTGGCTCATGTTGAATCTTTTTCTTGGTCTCCCACTGAGGCTGTGACCAAGCTCGCTTGTTTCAAGTTCCCCTCCTACCTCTTCAGATCGTTCCTTTGCCTTTGTTACGCGCTCTTAGTAGCGGATTGGCATTGGAGAGGCGGATTGGCATGGTGCCTTTAGAGGTTCCTTTACGATGCGAACTGCTGAAGATGCTTTCGGGGGCCAGCAGACTGTCGTGAAGAGATATGAAGAGTCATTTTTTCTACTCTGGTGGCAGAGTAGTGATTGTACGTGAGGCAGATTGTCAGAGGCTTTTGGGGAATGAAATCTGGCACTTGGCTACACCCACACCTAATGGAGGAAGGAGTCATGCCCGCCGGGCACCCCTCTTCTGGGCCACAAGATCAAAACGTATATAATAAGGGGGTTGGCCTGGTTCAAGCATGTCTCATGTATTGGAATTATATACTTCCAATCGTGTGGAGGGGGACCTGTACTGATATCCCTCATGAACAAGTGTCATTCCAAGGCTAGAGTAGCTCAAGCTCATACAACCTAAAACGAGCTTAGTTAATGGCTAGCACCTATTGCAAGTTTTAAGTCAAGCCCACAGAATGCCTATTCTTGTGTTGGTGGCAGGAGTGCCTTGTGTTTTTGTTTGGAGGTAGCCATGCAGAGCAAAAGTTCCAACATTTGGACAGATGCCGGCAGGATGGCTATATTACTGCTACTGCTACTGTAATTGAACTTATTTAGGTAAACGCAGATTTCACGTGACCCTTGACCTTTGATGTTAAAATCGTTGCCATGTCAAGACCTAAGTCTCGAACCTTGCTAGATACATTTTGGGGGCGTACATGGACCATGGAGAGAGTAAAGACAGTAGGGTCATTCCCGAGTCTTGACCGACTACCAAATACCTCCCCGTTCCTCCAGAAAAGGCATCGCCGTTGGGTAGATGCCTCAAGCTTCACTCGACACCTAAAAGAAGAAACACTGCCGATCCTGCGGATGCCATCCATTCCGATCCACTCACCTGCATTCCCGTTTGCTGCGCTCGTTTCCTAGGTCTGATTTGCTGAGCTTTTGCTTGATGTGCGACCTTCTGGCGATGGCCACTGTTGGGGTGCCCCAGGACTCCCAGGACAGCTCTAAGGAGTCACCCCTGCCCGGAAGAGAATGCTCCAGAGTGAGTTGGTGACCACGGTGAATTGGTGAAGATATATAAGATATAGATGTTCGAGGGAATTGTGACCTAACCCCCACCAACTAGACGACAGGGTGGCCCCAAAGCACAGCAGGAGATGACAGAAGGCAACGATGAGGATAAATATTGAAGATGATGTTGATAATGATGATTATGATGATTATGATGTTGATGGTGGTGGTGGTGGTGGTGGCAATAATAATAGTCATGATTCATGATGATCACAACGGTGCCAATACCAAGCCTCGTGGGCACCACCAATCATCCCGCTCCCCAGCGTCACGCCAAATTTACACCAGCATGTGTTCATTCCCCCAATGGCACGGACTCACGCAAGCGCACTTTCCACCGAGGCCGCGCAAAACCGCATGGCACAGCGACATCACAGACGTCATTTCGCCACTGTGCGCCACAGATTTGATTCAATGTAACGCCAAAAATGGTGGGCGCCGCCAATCATCCCGTTCGCCAGCGACACGCCGACATCGCGTGCCACAGACTAGTTCTCAAATCACAGCTCCGACAAGCTGCTTCCTGTGGTGCACTTGTGCGACCAAGTAACGAACTCTGAAGACACAGCTCCCAGAAGCTGCTTACCTTATTGCACTTGTACTACCAAGTGGCCAGATTTGAGGTCGCCTCTAGATTTTTAAAAACTTCGAAGTTGTAGTTGTGTAGGTGAATTTTGTCGGCGTGTTCGGCGTGTTCACCTATATCTTAACACCTGTGCCGCCTGTATCTCAACACCTGCACCACCTGTATCCCAACTCTTATATCACCTATACCCCCACACCTGTGTCCCAAGACCTGTATCCAAACACCTGTACCTGTGTAGGAGTCATATACCAGGTGTTGCCCCTGCACTTATGCAATTGATGATGATGATGACCCGTGACAATGACGATGATGACAGTGATGGTGACGTGATGACGATGATGATGACAATGACATTGGTGTTGATGAAGGTGACAGTGATGATGAGGCTGCCTTTCTTGAAGGAGAACCCTTCGCAGGTGTGGTTTTTCATCCTTGTGGAACCCGAATTCCTTCAGGAGGCCTGTGAACCCCAAACACCGCAGCAGACCACGGCCGGCTTAGGTGGAACCGATGTTCCATTGCCTTGGACATTCAGAGGCCGAAATTCCGTGATCTGCGACCACCAGTTGGGTGCTTCTTTTGGGTGGACAATGTTGTTTCTAAATGAGTTGCGAGGGTTGGATGAAAGCCCCCCCAACAGACACAAGGATTTGATATGATTTGCTTGGATTTCAAGGTAAGGGTTTCACACGGATAGAGATAAACATTTACGAAACTGGTGTTGTGCACCTCTACGGGTGAGTGAAGGGACATGTTCCAGCCAAGTGGAATTGTCAAATTGTAGAGCAAGATCTTGCAAGACCGCTTTCCCCAGAAAACACCCATTCTTGCACTTGAACGTGCTAGGCATTCTGTAAAGACTTCAGAACGGTTCACTCATGTGCCAGCAACCCTGTGAACAGAACACTTTCAGCTCCCTAAGGACAGTTTCGCATCTTCGACCGCTAGGACTAGCGCTCCGACGCCCGCGCAGCACGGAAAACAGGCGTTTTCAGGCTCGACCGGCGCCTTCGCAGGCCGTGATCGAATTCCGCTGCGACAAATGGACCGACACGATGAGCTACTCGGAAGCCCTGAACAGGGCTGTTGGGTTTTTCAGAGCTGGTTTCCTGTGATTCCAAGCCTGCAAGGGGTGTGGAAACAGGGCTTCAGCCACCACATATTACCTCAAGACGACGAAGGTGGTGTTTTGTGATGTTGGATTGTCCTGGAGGAAAATTGTAACTCCCTTGTAACCGTTCAGTGATTGGTCTCCGTTGTTTGCTCAAGAGCTCCAACTATCTCCACGCATCAGACCCTTAAAAGGGCCAGCGGCCAGTCAGAGGAACACCGGAAGTTTCTTAGGGTACTGTTTGCCCAAAACCATTCCAGTGCTTTCCACTTTCAGGTTAGTTTCTTGCGCCGGTCATTGTTGTGTAATTCAAAAAGGTCGAAAGTATGATGTTGTTCCCCGACGGCCAAAAACCTATAGGCCTGTCTTAGTCAAGCGAAGACTTGACACGTGACAAATCAAAGGACGGAAGACACCTTAGCATAAGATGATGAGCTGCCTTCTAAGGGTTGCAAGTTGCTGTAAGGCTCTAGGTGAAACGTGAGTGGATGAAGGTGGAAGGTGGCCAGCAGGGGTTTCCCATCGAGTGAGCATGGTAAGAGGGACAAACCTATGAAAAAAAACAATGCGCAAAGAGAACAATACAAAGAACAAACAAGTTCAATCTACAGCAACAGTTTTTTTTTCAATTCTATCCTCCTTCATTCGTGTTTATCATCACTTGAGGCCTCCTCTATGAGATCTTTGTGATCATCGGTGTTTTCTTGCCGCTGGGCCAGCAGTAGTTGACTGAAGGAAGAAAAGACGGCCATCTGAAACAACACAGGTTGACCGCCCAGATGAATCAGATGAAGAATCGCGTTGATGCATCGCGCCTGTATAGCATTGTACGTTTCGACGTTGCAGACCAGTTAGGTTCATTCTGGATCCATATGTTCGTGAATTTTCACACCTCCGACAAGGAGGTTGCTTCATGGGCCCTCATTCCATGTCCGCTTTGAACAGGCCACATGAAGGGTCAATAGGGCAGGGTCTTCACTCAGATCTTGAAGGGAGACACTCAGAGCCATCCGCCCTACCTCGAGCATCATGACATGAATGAACATCCAGAAACTTCCAGAATCACCACCCTTCCAAACTGTTACAATATGCATGTTCAACATGTTTTCCATTGCTTTCCTTGAATCTCTGTGGAGCCCTACCTGTAAAACAGAGCGAAACCAATTAAGAGGTACTGCCATTGAGGTATGTGATTTTGATGGTGGAGGTCGGCAGTATCTCCGTTCGGATCTCCGAGTACCGCGTCTTGTGCCTCCATGCCATCGAACAGGCACAGCACAACTCGGCGCCACGACGGTTGGAACGTCGGAAGGACACCACAATCCATACATTCATAACGATGAGGAGCCAGGAACTAAAGACAAACAGCTCAGTTTAATTGGAAACATCATTGGAAACACGTTAGGTTTCCTCAAAAATCTAGGAGCCAAGTCATCAGTGCGAGCGCATCTTCAAGGAAGGAAGCTCCTCTGAGCCCTCTATCCTGTGTCCTAGCTGTCCTAGCTCACTAGCTATCTCTTCCTCTTAGCGGCCTTACCCCCCGGGCCAAAAAACAACAGAGAAGAAACACAGTGTTTTTTATTCGGCCCACTGAGGTCCTGCCTAGCCTGGCACGTAAGGGGGCCCTGTTCGGAGATTTGTAAGTGGCACCCTTCAGGCCATATCAGATTTCATCAAACTACGATGCAAGCAGCCCAATGAACAGCTAGAACATGCTGGACTTGTGGGGACAGCCTTGCAAAGGCAATGCTGCATACTTGCAAGTGCACATTGCCTATCAGGGAGTTGCAAGTTGAGCAGTTGTCATTATGTTCTTGTGTTGTTCTCATGTTGAATTCAGAAGGTTCCTCCTGGCAATTCAATTGTGGGCTGAATATCCTTGAGCATATGCCATCAACTTTCTTTTGCCAAGTGGGTTTCCACGTTTGACCTGCATAGTGGTAGATCGCTGCTGAAGCCATGCCTTCGACAGGTGCTGCTTTGCTTCGGCGTGGTCTTGCTGACGATCTTGACCTTCTCCTTTGCGGTCAGCGGCATGACGCGTGAGGCACCAGTCATGCTGAAGAAATGCTGATCCAAAGTAGTGGGACAGACTCACCCTGGTGATTACGCTTGGCATGCTCGTGCGAATGACATGAAGGAAAAATCATGTCGTACAATACTCCCAAATGGCCTAATTATGTTTAGATACTGGCAAAAACCTACTGGTATATAAATGTAAGTATAAATGTATTTAATATATAATCAGGATGGTCCAGTGCAAGGCTAGAATTGATGTGACATATCGTGCCAGGTTCAGGCAATTTCAAACACAGAAGCTTTGTCAGCAAGCAGGGTTGCAAGTGCAGCTGGGTGCATGTCACAGCATGTCATGATATGTGCTGTCACTCTGAGACTTTGTGCACTCGGATTTGCATGCATGCACATCATTGCACGCCAGAATTGGACAGTCCATTTTCATGCACCATGCCTGGCCGTAGCTTTGTGCATGCTGCATGCACCTGGTGAGGATCAAGACCTGAAGCTCAAACTGAGGAATGGTCAAATGTCGGATCGTCGATCAGCACCTTCATCCGCATGTCCTTTGGAGCAATGGACCTAGCTGCTTGGATCTGAACGCCACTTAACCACCATGCTCCACCGTCTTCCAGCCGAAAGAACTCTAACATCCTTCTCTTCCCAAGAGAGTTGTTTCGAAAAGAGTGTTGGCTGGTGAGGACGGTAGATATCCACATGTCCTTCCCAAGAGACGATGTTCGAGCGGCAGTGCATCGAACACACGTTCCAGGCACCGATTCAGACCGTCGCGGCCGAGAGCCCCTTGCTGATCGTGGCACCTGGGACGAAGGCTTAAAGGGGATTCGTGGGGGTCGTGATGCGATCATGCTAGGAACAAGGACGCTACTATAGGCTCCTGGCAACGCTACTAGGAGCAAGGCCGCTACTATAGGCTCCTGGCCATACTACTGGGAACAAGGACGCCACGAACGGAGCAATTACGGGCATCGCTACGAAGTGGTCGGACGCTACGAACGGGGCTCCTGGCCGTACTGCTACTGTAGGAACAAGAGGCTACTAGGGGCTCCTTGGATTTTGTTGGATCTTGTTAGATCTCCTTGTATCTCAAGATGTTTTGTGCTATTTTTTGCTCAAGATGTCTTCGACTTTTTGGAAGGATTGGGAGTTTCGAGATTGCGGCGATTGGGGAGTTGGGAGGGGTTGGGGGTGCTCATGGATGTTCATGGATGCCCCCCTGAAGCGACACACACGTTCTTCCATGAGTTGTTTTCTTTTTGTTAGCAAAAGTGGGATCATCAGTACATATGACGTACAAGAAGAAAAGGCTTGTTTTTGGTTCTCTTTCCCCTAACATGACTACTCTCGATAGAATATTATATACATTGATATACATTGTCTATATAGTGCAAGTGCAAGGCAATAGCTGGAGAGCCGGTCTGAGGTGATCGTCCTTTTCATGATGATGGTCTACACCTTCTTTTTCAATCTCCTGGTGTCGTTCCTTCCACTGCAAGCCGCGGAGATGGGATGTAAGACTCATTGATGAAATCATCCTTCCTCCAGTTTGAGGCTTCAGAGAAATGCTTCGGGGACTCAGTACTCATCCATCTTGTACTATATAAATGTATATATATAGTATTATATAGATCTATATTGGATGATCTATTACTGCACTGCACCCTTGGGCCTTAGCACGTCCAGCACCTGACCGATGTCGACCGCACTTTCTGTGACATGCTGTGGGTCTCTCTATGGGTCTGAAGCAGCCGCTGAAGAGGGTCTTTTTCAGCAGCCTCTTCGGATGGCGTTCAGAGTCAGGTGGAAAATACAGCAATCAAAGCCTTAGCTGGTGAAAGCCTAAGACTCAGGCTTAAATAGTCCGGTTCCTCCAAGACATCATGAAAAAATCATGACAACCGTTAGCCAATCCCCGCCCACCTTACCGCAAGAGGCTGCCATCAGGAGGGCACCTTGGATTCCTGCACTTCTCCCGGAACTTGTGACCTGCACATGTGAGATCATGTGAGGCAATTCTGTGGGGTGTACACTTCGCTGGCAGAAGACATCAAAGGCCACGCCAGGCGCAACAATTGTGTGGACAACGGCCCAGCGCATAGGAGACCATGGGAGACAAAAACTATCAAACAACATGCACAAACACCAACAAAAAGGTGTTATGGAAGGACATGTTTTTTTTTTCCGCAGCCTCTCCCCGCCACAACGCTCACGCATCGAGAGCCCAAGTCACGTTTTTTACCGCCAGGCTGGCTCGCGGTGAGATCATCATCGAAACGTTTAAGGCCCTCGGTGGGCGTGGAAAGCTGTTTGGCCGTTGAACGCCGCAGAACGCCCGCCCCGTGTGTTCTCCATGTTGAAGTCACCATGGACCATGGAACCATCGAACCGAGGTTTATTTGGCGGGAGTTCGTTGCACAAGGACGCGTTTAACAAAGACTCCGAAGTTCGTCAGGACGCCAAACAGTTCGTCAAGAGTTCTCTCGTGTATTTTTTGTTCTTTTTTCTTTCTCTCTCTCTCTCATTTAAGGGATCGCAGTGTCGGTAGGGCCTGGAGGGGGTGATGTCCTGATATGAGCTGATCACCTTCAATGAGTTGCGAGGTAATGGTCTAACGTTGAATCCCCCGGTTCCAGCTACAGGCTAAGAAACACGAAAACATTAGAAGTCCTGAAATAATTGCACCTTTCTGTATATATAATATATATACGGTTCTAAGTCCCAACTAGTAATGGTTCCCAAACAACATACTCACATGAGGGCCACAGTCCAACCAGTGCCCACCAACGTCTTTCTCACATTTGAGCATTGGTGCTGTGGCACAGCAAAAGCACAGGCAATCTGGCCGCAACATCGGCAAGTACCCCAGAAGAAGCTGTCGGAAAAAAACACCAAAACAATTATATAGACAGTTAGTATCGCAAACCCGTTTTTTGTAAATTGTTGTATGTTCGTGGTGTACTTTTGTCGTCGGTTGCATTTTTGTGAAAAACAAATTATGTCAGTTGTTTGTTTGAGTTTAGTTTTGATTGAATATTGTTTTGATGTGTTCGTTTTCTTATTTGGCTATTTTGGTTGGATTGTATTGTATTTGTTGGAGCATGCAAATGACCTCGAACTGCGACCGGCAAAACCCACCGAACCAACTTTTTTGAAGGCCAGCGAAGCGTAGGTCGGTAGGGCTATCCCGCAACCACAAGAGGTTGCTCCAAAAGACACGGGCGCCAACTTCCCATCCCACCCGTATCAATGCGCATCAAATGACAACTTCCTTATATACATGTTGCGTGCATGTTCCTTTTTTTTGATGATTGTACTGCAAAATGCAAAGTCGTATTTTATTGATTTTTATTGTATGTTTAAATGTACTTAGTATTTCTAATGATTGATCCATGCCAGCATTTGTTGGCGCAAACTTGCCCATTGAACACCTGAAGTGGCTTCAAGACCGCTGAGTTCCTGTGCCAGATGGACACCCCTGGCTTGCACTCCACACTTGGTGTTTTGTGTAGGGGCATCAGAGAATTCAGAAAGAGCAAGCATAAAGATGCAACCTGACAACAAAAATACTTATTGAAAGGACGAAACAGACCCAACCAGGTTGGACATAGGCGGGCCTCCTTTGGTAAAGCCACCAATGCTGATAGAATCCTTTATAGACAAGGGATGGAAGGGAGTGATGCACGAGGATCCAACCTTCCGATCCTTTCCCATCCTTTGGTGCGCTGGATGGTATGCCTTGGCGTCACCCTGTCGAAGCAGCCTGCCTGCGTCTTTGGCTCCAGGCGGTGCGATTGACACGCTGGCAGAGGTTCATGAATTCCCTCAACTTGGATAGCAAAGTGGACTTCGAGGAAGGTGACATCGGCTTGGCCGGAGGCGAGCGCTGTCTATAGGGGGAAACGCACCGAAAACAAGGTTCTTATGGAGAGCTGGCTCTTTGGGGAACTGTTTATGTTTACTGTTTGCTAGAGTTGGACTGCTGAATATGTCAATGCATCTCGAGAAGAACCTTTTTCTCTCGTTTCAACCTTTGAGCCTTTGAGACATGGAGAAAATGGGGATGTGACTGCAAGACCAACAGGCTGCAACACACAGGAGAAACACCTACAACTGACGCCTGGGCACCGATTTTTGCATCTAAGACCGAGCTCACATGAGCAAGGGACAAAATATGTTATAGGAACTGGCGTGTCCTTCTACAGGCTAAAGAAGGAAATCCAGAGGGGCCAACTTCAACCCACACCATAGATTTGTCCAATCCTCACTATCCATCCCTGAGGCATCAAGGACTTCGAGCCGGCCTTGGCCCATCCGGTCGCAAAGGAGTTACTGGGTCGATGCAAGATACGTGGTGAATTTGCCGCTTAACGCCCTACGCATTGGCACAAGACGCCACATACTAGAGCCATGGCCGCTGTGGCCACAGGAAAGACTTAAATGTTTATAGGCCCCAATTAAGCACGTAGCGAGGCACAGGAGGTCGTTTCCCAAGGCCCCACCCACCACCAAACTATTCAATCGGACAGCAACTTACCTCTTCAGCATGCTATGGAAAGAGCCGTCACCCGGACCCTGACGCCCCGTTCCGTCCACCCCTTTTTTCGGCACCAGTTCCCCCCTATCTCCCACCGTGTTTTTGGTGACACGGCTTTTCGCAACGGTGCGTTTGTGATCGCAGGTCGCACCTCGCCTGCGTTTTAGGCACTTTTTAAACAGTGCAAATTATGCGAGGGACGACGAACAGTTCCATACACTCATTTTGCTCCTTCGAGTGCTTCAAGCGGTTTCATGCTCTGGAATTATGCCGATAGATCCATTGGAAGATTCTCTCCCAGATCTTCCTGTTCAGGGTTTCACCCTGACGTGTCTTCATCTGCGTCGGCAAAAACTTTTTCAAATGGTACCAACATCTGTCAATCTGCTGTGTACCAGCGAGGCGACAACGCTCATAGGCTTGCTCCATTCGCTTTTGGAATGGGCAACAGATATCAACAGATTACATATCGTGAAATCGATGACAATGTTCTCAGCATGACATCCACGTCCTCATTCCATCACAACCCCCCCACCCCCCCCACCCCATTTTAAACACACGACTAATCAAAGACAATGTTATGAAACCGATTACCATGTTGTGAAACCGATGACAATGTTATGAAACCGATCATTACATATCATGAAACCGATGAATGGAAACAGAAATAACCCAAAACGTGGGCCGGTAACGAAGCCGATAACATATACATGTACAAGAAACAACAAAAATGTGAACGCCTCCACTCCACGGTGTCACTGTGTTTTTGTGCGAAAGATCGATCGATCGATCGATCATGCCAGCAGGACCAGATCATCCGCTTTGGTGGGAAGACGGATCCGCATTTGCCCTGGCCCGAGAAATTGGCCAGTGAGGCGGACAGCATCGAGAGGAGTCTTGGCCACGCTAACACGAGCGCCGCTCAGGGCCGAGCGCCCCCGGGGCCGCGCCAAGCGGAGCGAGCGCGGAGCGAGCGCGGAGCGAGCGCGGAGCGAGCGCTGAGATCTGCCGGACGGTGGGGGTATTTTTCATTATTTTTCAGGATGAACAGACCTCAAGATGTCCTGAAAAGTTGGGGCGTGTGCCTCCAACAACCACGTGGCCCCTTGCTGACCCTTTTTCCGATCGCAATGGGTTTTCGTACGCCTTTGCACGGAGAGAGTGAAAGGCCGCTTGTTGGGTGACCGTGGCTGGAAGCCAGGCTGGCTTGTTGAAGGGATCACACGACTGGAGATGGCTTTTCAGCTATATCGAATGCTTTCCGGAGGGCGGTCTGGGTAGCCCGGGCCTTGTTCAGAAACCCTTAGTCTGACGAGACAGGTCAAGATGATGAAAGACTCTTGAAAGAGCCTCTTGAATTTGATGACTTCATGTGGGCTGGTGCTATCTACGTTTTGCCTTTGCTGAGTTGGTTATCCCACTTTGACATTTTGTGACAAAATTACCCTCACGGGGGGAGGGCTTCATTGTTGTTTTTGGCTTATGAGTTCACCCCCCCAAAGATATTTGCTACAAGAGTTCTTGCATTGATCCAAGCGGTGCCTCAGGGTGGTCCAACGAACGTCACTGAGCCTGCAGTTGAGACGCATGAAACTCTCAGATACAAGTTGGTATTGCATGGTAGTATATCGCAAGGTTCGCGCTTTGCAATGTGCATAGAAACCAACATCCACATCACGAGCATGGCGGGTTCCACCGGACGGAAACAACAGCACGCAACATGTGTTGTTCAAGACACTTTGTTCATCCCTAATTAGGCGTCATGCATGGCGGAGAAAAGCACATGACCAAGAGAGCTGTCATGCTCACCCCCAGTCTGGAAGTGGAAAAGCATCACAATTACATCATCCATTCCGACTGTCGGATTCAACACCGATTTGCTCCCGAAATGGATCCAAACGATGAGGGTTTTTTTCTTTGACATGCTTGACCGCCAGGGCTCATTTTGCAGCACCCTGAAGTGCAGACCGAGGATCCAGAAGTCCTTGCAGAAGTACCTTGGAAAGGGCCGCTTGGTCGCGCGCTCGCTCGCTCTCTCTCTCTCTCTCTCTCTGTCTCTCTCGATCTCGGTTGAGAAACATCGAAGTGACGAATTCGGAGGACAAAGAGATGCTCAATCTTGGGCTTCATCACAAATAGCGATGGCCTCCAACCTACTAGCCATGGCCTCCAAGTGGTGTTGCTTGCTTTCAAGCCATGTCTCACCTTTTAAATATTCCCGCTATGTCCCAAGATTCGAACCGGTTCATACAGACGTCTGGACGACATCGCCTGAATTCAGCATCAGCCCACTGAACCTCCGGTGGATCGGCTCTGTGGAACGAGGAAAAGCTGGAGCTGGAAGTGCCTTGGGAACCGTGAGCAGCGATGACCAGCCACTCGGCGGCAGTGCTTGAAATGAGCCTTGAGCACCAGGACCATTCGGAGGCCACAAGAAGAGTCAGAGATCTGCATTGAAGCGTTGAGTCATGTTGAGTTTTTGAGCCACCCATTCGATGGGTGGCCCAAACCGTTCAATAGCAATCTGTGGAGGATTCCCTTGACGCCAGGAGCAGCAGCCACCACAGCAGCGACAACAAGTGAGAAAAGGGTCGTCGGGCAGAATCGGGTCTGCCCGACCGAATGGTGCGCCAGTACGAGCCATGCAAATAAATAAATGCACTGTTTTTTTGTTGGGCACGTGGAGCCCTGTCAACAATCCCCGAAACCGTAATTGAAAACAGTAGAAGAGGAGATGCTAACAAGAAGCTAGTAGGTTGGAGGCCATCGTTCTGAAGGTGGACTGGAGGCCATGCGAGGTGGTTTCGTTGCAGCCATTGATCGGGCTCCATGGCTTTGTTTGATGTGATTTAATGGGTTGCAGCCGGGGCGGTCGGTGTAGTGATCCCAAAGGAAGGTGTGGGTGAAGGTGGGAAGGTTTGCATAGATTTTTGTTTACGACTCTTTGCTTTGTATTTGGGTCGTTTCTGAGCATGCTCCATGAGATTCGACGAAGCATTCTCCAGAACAAATGATGAGGGCAAACACGACTGCGAAAAGGTGATTGGATTGGTTAGATTCACAAACCTGTGACCAGTCAATAGCAGTCATTCATTCATGTGCTTTCCCGACTCCGGTGAGTTGTCAACTTTCCAGCCTTGATGCAGAGCTATGGTCAACCGCCCTAGCATGCGCCATAATTCACTGAGAGTTGCACTCACTCTCCGCGGGGGTGCGGGTGAGTTCGCTGCCACGCTACAGCTGAGCTCCCTTTTCGCTTCTTTTTTCGCGCCCCCCGGCGTTGAGAAACACTCCGCCGTGTTGACTCCGCCGTCAGGTGAGGAGCAAAGCCAAACAAGGATAGCCGAGCAACGCATCCAGATGAAGATCCTGAGCATGGGTGAGAAAGTGGAGGTTTGCAGCTACGCTGTGCTATCTTTCAAAGGCTTTGCGAATTACCTGAGTGCCCTCCGTTTGGAAAGTAGCCCAGCCCGTTTTTCTTCGGGGTGCCCACGCAAAACAACACCTCCAAGAAGGCTGGTGAGGGTTACAATATATGGCAACGGGTCCGCAAGACAAAGAGCAACCATATCTTTGTGTAGTGACTGTCATGTTGTTTCGGTGTTTAGGGTGTTTGATGGTGTTTGACATTGTTTGACTGTTTGAGTTTTCTTGGGTTTGGACCCCCTAATGCCAGGTTTGAAGTGTTTCATCCAGTTTGTTGCCTTTGACTTTCAGCGACCTCGACACCCAAGGTGTCTGGTCCTCAACATGCGCACAGTCTCCCGTTTAGGTGCCGTACTCATACTTTGTCTGATGTCCCAAGTCTCTACTGAAGTCTTTACAGTCCTCAGATCTGCTCTTCACACCATGATGTCGAACCTCACTAAGTGGTTTTCCATCAACTGGGACATCTGGCGATCCCAAGTGCTGGCTGTGTCCCTCTCTCAGCCTTTGGCTTGCGGGCGGGACCATGGGTCTGGTTCGAGGGCTTGGGAGGGAGTTAGCCTTGGCGCTTGGTACATTTAAATAGATAAATCGGCCATGCAGACTGCATGAGGCTGTCGTGTGGCAATACATGGGCATTTTCATTGCGCGTGAATTTTGGACCGAAGGAGACTTGTGTTGCAAGTGATGTGGCCACCAGTGCAGGCTTCATTTCAAGACAGCACCTTTGCCAGCGCTGCCCACATTTCAAAGCTACGGTGCCCTCATGACTCGATCAGAGAAAAAGACTTGCAAGCGCGAGCTGGACCTCTGGATGAGAGCCAAGTTTTGTGGACCTTCTCAGACAAGTGGGGAATCGCAGAGTCCTAGAGGGTTCGAAAGAACTCCTGATAGAAAGGGTCGTGAGGCTTGTTAGAGCCCCCAACCTCACAAGGGACCTCCTGAAAATCACAGACGAAAGAGTTCCTAGCATCATCAAGATCAGCGATCGGGTCACACAGGGTGGGGTCACAAATTCCGAGGTGTTGCTGATCAGATCTGCGTTGATGTCTTCAAGGCAGGTTGTCGACCAGTTTCTTGCCAGCCTTTGCAAGTGCAGTGCGGCAATCATCAAACGTCAAGTGACACTTGTGCGTATAGCATGCGTTGCCTAAAGAGAAGAGCCAGAAGTTTTACTGGCAAGTCCTCACATAGCACCACCGGGCACCGCAGCCGTTTTCGAAGACTCAAAGAGCTTTTCTGATCTCATCGTGCCAAGCGTGCTGGGTTCCGTGGGGACAGCTTCGTCAGATTTTCAAGTGCAGAGAGATGAAGTCACCCGCAGTTGACCAAGAAGTCCCACAGGACTTGACTTCCGGAGTATGACGGAGTTCAAGTCGGGACCGGACTGCTCTTTGAAACAAGTGCATCGCTAGTAGTAACAGTGCTTTACTAGTAGTAACAAGAAGCTAGTAGTAACAAGTGCCACGCTAGTAGTAACAAGTGCCACGCTAGTAGTAACAGGTGCCTTACTAGTAGTAACAAGAAGCTTTAAGATGTTTGGATGCTCTGATCTTGGCCTTCCATCCTTCTCCCGTTCGCACGGCAGAACACGAACTCACCAGGCTCATCTCCTTGTCGTTTGTGAGTGCTTTGGGTAGCAAGCTTCTTGCGCAGCCTTGCGAGAGCTCCCCTCACCGCGGAGACCGCTCCGTATTCTCACCTCGGTTTGTCGCAGGATTCCCGCGAACCCACGGAAGTCTTGCAGACGGTGGTCGCCGGTGGTGCGGAAGATGAGACCATGTCTGTGGTGGACGAGGCACTGAGTGATGCCATGGACTCGGATTTTGGAGCCGGCGTTGATCCCGAAGGCCAGATAGATAGGGCGAGCACAGGCAAAGGAGGGCCTTTTGATGCCTTTTGAATCTTGTTGAAGCGTGGGCTACAAGGGTGTAAACAAACAAAGGTTCGGGCACTTGGGCTCCAAGCCATTGGAACGCCTATCACATCGTGCCATCATCGCTTTGTGCATGTGACATGTGATTCACCATGTGATGTCCAAAATTCTGGGTAAAAGAAAGCTAATCATGCTCAGAGAAGAGAGATTGCTTTAGACTTCCCCTAGAAACCTTGGGAGACTTGGACCGACTTGAATCCTGGGTTCCGACCTGGTTTGGCCGAGGGAAGCAACAAGTCGGTGACGGGGCAGCGGGGTTCGGCGAGACGATGAATCAGCTGGCCTTGTCGGGGGACTCAGGCATCATGGAACCATGAACAAGGTTGCAGCGCCTGTAAGGGGCGGTGTGTTGGAGTGTTTTGTTGAAGTTGTCGTTTGTTGATATCTTATTCTAATTTTCCCACGTGTTTGGATGTTTTTGGATTGAATAGACTGAATAGGTTGTTTCTTTTAGGTGGAAGTGCCGTAAGGGTTGCTCGGAAGGTTCGATTTTAGGTGTTTTTGCTGCAGTGTTGAACACTTTTGGATAGAGTGCTTTTGCGGTCCTAAGTTTCGGAGGAATTCGTGTCTCATGTTGGGTGTGTATCAGCTACGTCGAATTTAAGAAAGAATCTCGAAATTCAAAGGTGTCGTGAAATGAAACAGGCATCATTGCTCCCATACCTACAGAATCCTGCAGAATCCTACTCCACATGGAAATGTATTTTTCTTGGAAAAAGGCACACGGCGTGTTGAAGGAATGCGCTTGCGGCATGTTTACTCAACTCGGAGGTTTGGACCTCATGTTTGTGGCGTGCGGCGAGTTGTTGTGAAGCTTGCGAACGAAGCAGTCGTCCCGGCGTGAATTCTTTGGTTTTGGAATGCAACGTGTTGCCCAGGCCAAAGGGTGTGTTTCTTGAATTGCCGAACACATGTAATAGATCATATGTGTAGCCATTTCCTGCCGCGGTAACTTCTTAGTTTGGAACTTTCAGGCAAGACTCGGACTCCGAGACGACCGAATCTAAGTTGTAATTATTCTGAAATCCTGATTCTTCCTTCCTGTTACCCCAGAAGCTCAGAACCTAGGCCTGGCGTCATGCGCGTGAATGGATTGTGCTTAACGCAAACATAGCACTGGCGTAGCGCAGGAAACGATGGTTATTATCCCCCCAACCCCCAGGCCACCCCACCCAACTTACACCGAGCCGCAAACCAAAGGACAAGGACAGCTCATGTCAAAACCATTAAAGACCTCTCAAAACGCATGGCCCCTTAGGGGTGCTGCTCCATGACCAACCCTGGAGCCTATGACATGTACTCGACGGGGCTCCCAAAGGCTTTCGACTTTAGGGACGGGGCCTTGGGAGGGTGGCCCCTGTCCTTGGATTTCCGGCCAACGCGCAGCGAATCTCCAGGTCGTCGACTGAAGCCACAGTTCTACGCAAATCCTTTGACATGGTCTTGGCAGCTTTGGGGAACGATCGCGAGGCACCGGGAACGATCGCGCCGTGTGGGGGACAGCGCGGAGGCCCGGGTGGTGCATCTCCAACGGGTTTTTGGCTCAGGGCCATGGCCATGGGGGAACAGGTTTAAGGTGAGCTTATTACCGTGTAATGGTGTTGATGGGCGCACCATGGGTGCACCAGCACAGGGGCAATCCGTGTCCCCAGCACCCTGAAGCTGGTTCCTCGTGCAGGCACCAAAAATCATCAAGTTCGTCAATTAGTTTTGTTACTTTGCGTTTCACCTAGGTCTGTGATTTAGAACATCTTAATAATAACGCCGTGCTTTCACAGGCGCACACACACACACACATATCGTCAATTGTGATTGTGTTTTTTGTTTTCGTACTTCTGTCCACAGGAAGTTGGAAACCCTTTGGATTGCTCCAGATCTTTTGCCGTGCAGCGGCACTTGGTACTTGTGTCAAGACCTGGTCTGGCGAGGCAATGGGTGATGCGATCTACGGTTTGAAGATTCACGCACTGGTGGCAATCAAGGAGTATGGGATGGGTCGATGTGTTTGCTGGTGGAAGGGTAATGAGGGTGCCAGGTATGATGGAAACCTGAAAGTCATGGGAGCTAATCATCGACAGTAATTGGACTATAATGGTATTATATTGGTGTATGATGTAGTTTGTTTTGAACTTTGACCTGGTGAATTGATCATACCCCTGCACAGGGTGGAGATAATAAGCTGCGAGCATAATCGAGTAATTATATGCGGGAAAGCTCACCAACTTTCAAGATGATGTTGTGAATCGTACCTTCCAAATCCTTCAAATACCTGGTTTCTACTGGTTCCATTTGACATTTGCCAGACACCAATAAACCAACTTCAGCAACACGTTGCTTTTCCTTTCAAAATCATCCAAGCAACCTCATTGAGTGCAGACATGGCTACATGAAGACGCAGGGTGCAATTGCGGGCCTAGCTTTCACAGAAAAAGCGACCGATCTCCGCCAAAAGCATTGAGGTTCCCAGAGAGGTGTGATGACTTAGTCAACTTGGGCAGTCTATTTTGAGTGTTCGTTGCCATGGTCTTCTCTGTGTTTTCTTGGCTTCCGTTGAAGCCAAAAAAAGATGGCACTGGGCAAATGACTGCAGGCTTTAACGTCGCATGCTTGGGTATAATGATGAAAAAACGGTGTGTTTCAAGACATTTGAACATTGAGGTGCCCAGATGTACCTAGTATGAGGGGGACATTTGCTACGTTATACTGTGTTCCCAATCCACCGCATTCAAGTGTTGTTTTGTCGAGAGCCGGCCGCACCGGCCTTGTGTCGCCAGGAGAATTTCACAACGCCCCGCGCAGTGGTGTCCCTGCGCTTTTTCAATTGCTTCCGCCTGCTCCTAGAGAAGGCTGAAGACCCCAACGAGCTGAAGATCTATGTGGAAACCTTGGCCTTCAAGCCCCTTGGATGCGAAGATATTGATTCCTGGGGATGGGCTGGGTACGTCGGATGAGTTGTTTTTCTCCTGAACTGTGCCATCTTGGCATTGAAGATCGGACGCCACAAAGTCTCAGGAGGCGCAACCATCGATGATTGCATGATATTGCAATATGTGGCATGATATGGCATGAACATGGGTCGAAAAGCACCCCCTCCCGCGCACTGATGTGCGAAAGGTCGTCGATGTCGATTTCTTGAGGCATTTGAACAATGAAATCACCGAGCAACGAGTGGACGCAGTACTGGATGCTTTCAATGAGCTCATGGTGCAGAATGTGCGGCTCGACGTGACAGAAGGGAATTACCATGGGAACTTTTGCGCAGATGTTGAAAGCCTACAAACTGGCACGAATTCTGTCTAGGCCATTTTTTTCCATGGTTCGGTTCTGTATCGTTTTTCCATGTTTTTCCTCACCGTTTTTGACCGTTCAAAAATGGATGGACCAGGCCCAATCTGCCGCCGGGCACCGCCGCTGCCTGGCGGAAGTTGCTGAGCTACACCGGCTCCTGCTACAAGTGCCGCAAGCGGGTGAAGCGGGGAGTGGAGAAAAGTGGTACACGGCTACTCAAGAGTGACACAAGGACAACTGCTGGTCATTGAAACATGGCTTCCTAAAAAGATGGCTCAACCATGAGGTGCCATCATGTCCCATCCAGAACCCAGTGGCATCCAGTGGCATCCGGTAGAAAGGACATGGTCGGTGTGGTGGACTGAGTGGGCGACGTGGTCGGTGAGGTACGTGGGCGACACCTATGGGGAGCGCCTTCGAGTGATCAAGGCACCGTGCAGCACGGAACCGACGTGTGGGTTCCACTGGGCTGCCTGGGGGTCCAGGGTAGTCATGAGGGTCCAATGGACTTGATTTGGACTTGATCATCTATATAGGTAGTGCCATAGGTCCTTGTTTACTTGGTGCCTTGAAGTGGGGTGTTTGATACTTGAAGACTCACGAGTCAGCTTTTTGCCAGACAAGTAAAGTGAGCGACTTTCGTGAACCTGTCCAGGAAGATTGGGCTGCCGTTCAGAAGTCTGCTACGGACGATCGGAACAAGGACGAGACCAAGACTAACGCGGGCGACAACGCGGGTGGTGGAGAGAATGTAAATGCAGACGAGGCGAAAGAAGATGACACGGCTGACGCTGGGGCCGAGACCTTCAGCTTTGGGCGGATGTGCGCTTTCAGCAACGAGGTCATGGGACAGAAGACTGAAGGCGGGGCAAGGCATGCAAGAGGAGAGAAGTAAATTGGGCGAACAATGATAAGTGATAAGTCAATGTCTTTTTAGTTACATGTCTCAGAAATGATCATTGGGGTCATTGCTGATTTGAGTCAGACTTGCCGCTTGTTTGAGTCAGAGGCTGTGTGCCGTTGACAGACATTTTTGCAACATGAGGCTGAGGACTAAGTGACTATATAAGTCTTTGTTCCGGTCCCAACCAGTACTGTATTGCAAAAATGTTATAAGTTATCCTATTGCTACTAATGTATAAAGAATTATAGTATATCGTACCCCCCGAGATCCACCTTTGACGCTCTTCCAAAACCTTATACTTAAACACAGTGAGACGTGGGATTTTCAAGCCTGAACAGCTGGAAGACTTGGGATGCAAGATTGCAATCCAGATCCCTGGATTGTCCTGTGAAATCTTCAATCTTCAATCCAAGGGTTTGGATTGACGATTTCTTGCCAAGAGTCCTGTGAAATCTTCAACCTTCAAATGATTTCAACGTAAGTTTCACCTAATGCTTAGTATAATTCCAATATGTTCTCATTATGTAGATGCTAGTTGCTTGCCAAAAAAGTTCTGACTGGATTCTAATTCAACTCCAGTTTATTTTCGTTCGATTTTAGTTCTACTGAATTCGATTTAAATCCTAATTAAACTCTGATTGGGTGCAAAGCAAATTCCAATTGAGTTCTAATAATTGACATCTATTTTTGTTCTGCCTGATCTCCAATTGAAATCTCATTGAGTTCTATTTAATTTCCAACTGAATTCTGGTTGTATTCTAACTGAATACTCATTGCTTGAAACTTGTCAATTTTAATTGGATTCTGGGCTTAAACTGTGACTAAATGTTTTTATTGAATTCTAATGAAATACTGGTTGTTTTCAAGCCAAATTCTAAGTGGATTCCGCTTGAGTGCTAATAGATTTCTATTGAAATTCGAATTGAAATCGCTTTAAATTCTTTCTTTACATCTAATTGAGTTCTAAAATATAACGCAGTGCTAGGGTCACCATCCGATATTAAGAACTTATATACAAATGCTTTCATTTAAAAAGCTTTTCTCTGGACCTGTGGGAATGTAGAAAGTTCTATTTGAAACGTTCATTTCACAAGTTTTTCTTTGGATCTCTGGGGATGATCACGTCCACAATTAAAACGCTTGACGCACAACCTTTCATTTCAACATCTCTGGGAGGGATCCCTTCTGGATTGAAACGCTTGATGCAAAAACTTTCATTTCAACACTGTTCTCTGGATCTGTGGGAACTGTCACGTCCTTATTAAGAACTTTATATAAGCACGGTCATTTCAACATTTTTCGTTGGATCTCTGGATGTAGGTCGAAACTTTGGTCAAAATATAGGTTCCCAAAAATGATCAAAAATGTACAGTCAATTATGAAGCCTATCTGTCCCTGTTTTGTTTTTATTTGCTTCCTCTGTTGGACCCCTATGACAGCTGGCAACTTTTCCCCTACAGCATCTCTACACTTGGTCACTTCGTTCCCGGCGCGCGCTTTCTAAAGCAACCTCCTTGCATCCAATGCAAACCTGCTTCCATATGCAAATGCCCTTGTGTATGCTGGCTGTAGGATTTGCATACTCCAACTCATTGCATACTTAGTTGAAGTGCGCCGTGAGTTTGATCACGCATCCCAGAAAAGGCTAGCATATATTTTTTAAAATACGTATGCTTGTCCACGCATATGTATACCCACACAGTTTGCAGCCGCTTACCTCTATATAACGGTTGAGGCTTGGCACTGCATTGGTTTACGCAACTCAAATTTCAATGATTTGGTTTTGCCCAACTGTGGCGCATGATCAATTGTTGAACACCTTGTCCCTGCAGGGTGGATGTTGGAACTCCTTCAGGTCTTTCATGTTCCTTGGCCAGGTCAGTTTGGTCCGGGACGGTGGTAGAGGTGTCGCAGCGGAGAGCTTGGATGTGAAGAATGGAAAGGAAGAACCGGTCTTCCACAGATTTTGCAAGATCCAGCACAATCCAGACGAGCAGGGTGAAACTGCGCAAGAACGCCTCCGCTCAAACCAACCTTGTGGCGTTGTTTGGTCCTTAGCCTTAGCCCTGAAAAGGTTTTTTTCCTCAGCCTTCCGAAACTGCACCCAGATCTTGGTCGATATGATCTCCAGCCCTGTGCATTTGCAAGAGGACAGGCCTGATCGTGCCTTCCCAAACTCAAGTGGACTACTACGGCCAACAGTGCACATCAGGGGTTGAGCGAAAGGACCATCCGGAACATAATTGATGGGCAGTCATGGACATTGTCTTGGGAGCCTGCTAATTGGAGGATTTCATCATTCACTGCCATAGAACGTCCGAGAACCACGTGAACCCATTAAAAAAGGCAAGAAAATAACGTTTGACTACAAAGATATGGTTTGGGAAGTGCAAGGAAATATATCCAACATGTACAGCATACATACAACCGCTTACTGAAGCCCCTTTTAGGCTGGAAAAGGCGCGCTACCCGCTTGCATGGTAGCGGAGCAGGGTGAGCTCCTGCTCCGGGTCCCCTGTTAGACAGGGTAAGACCCGCGCGTGGGCGCCTGCGTGGAGGACACCCTGTAAATCCGCTTGGCGGTGTGGGCACGGGGTAAATCCTCCTCGAAGGGAGGTGCCAAGCAGCGCTCATGGCTTCGAATGCTGCGCCGCTCACCCCGCCAGGTGCTTTCTCGCTCGGAGATTCCCTGGCAGCGGCAGCTGAAGCAGGTCTTCTACCTCAACAAGCTCAGCAGCAGCAGCAAGCTCAGCCAGCCCTTCCGGCTCAGCAGGTCGGCGCCAGTGGTCTCATCGACACTCGAGCCATTGGCAAGTTGAAGAGCTCCTCAGGTAAAGAGGAAGAATGGGCAGCTTGGGTCTTCGTGGCAAGAGGGTACCTCAACTTGCTGGACACGAGCTATCAGGCCCTCATCCAAGCTGCAGAGAACGCCAACCGGTACAGCGACCTGATCCTGAGTGACATGGGGCAGCACGCCCAGGAAAAGGCCATCATCCTGTTCAACCTCCTCACCCAGAGTGTTGATGGCAGGGCCCTACAGGTGTTGATGAACGTGGAGAACGGCAATGGCTTCCAGGCTTGGAAAGCCCTCTGTGAGGCCTATGAGCCTGATGTTGGAGGGAGGCATACAGCCATGCTGATGAGCATCATCGCCCCGGCCTGGGAGACCGTCAAGGAGAATGACTTCCTGGAGTCCCTGGAGAGTTGGGAAGTGCTGACTAGGCGCTATGAGATCCAGGCCAAGGAGGACTCCACAAAGATGAGGCATGAAGCATGCGCCCATGTCACTGAGGTCAGCCCTGAGGACCACTGGAGCTCAAGTTGGGACAAACTATGAGCGAGCCAAGAAGTTTGTGCGAGATTTCCTTCAAGCAGGGCAATACTACAACGCCAAGGGCGAGTTGGGCAAGGACGATGGTGGAGCAGCACCCATGGATGTTGGTGCAGTGTCCTTTGACAAGGGGAAGAAGGGCGGCAAGTAAAAGAATGAGAAAGGAGTCAACAAGGGTGGCAAGTTTGACAAGAAGGGGAAGCCACCTCCTCCAAAGAAGTTCAACGGCGAGTGCTCCTACTGTGGAAAATGGGGGCACAAGAAAGCGGATTGCCGCTTGCTGGCCAAAGAGAAGGCCAAGCGTGAGGGAAAAGGAAAAGGTGGCAGCGCCAATGCCATCACAGCGACATCGTCTTCGGCAACTGGATCTGCGTCCCCCGTCGGTGGACAAAGCACAAATGCAGTGTACTACTGGCTGCCCGGTGATGGTGAGCGTGTGAACTGGGCAGACGCTGAGGATGTGTATGAGATCGAGGACGAGTACTCAGACGAGATGTGGGTGATGATGATCCACCGAAGCAAGCAGCCATCATTTGCTGGTATCACAGTCGCCTGACCAGAAGATCAAGTACCTCCTATGGGATTCAGGCAGTGATGAGCATCTGTGCCGACCGAGCTTTCGTGGCGACTTCCACATCGAGGAGAGTGAGGTGAAGTTGATGGGCATCTCAGGACAGTGCCTTGGGAGACTTGGCAAGAAGAAGGTGAACTACAAGATCATCGGCGAGGACCACAAGTTCCTGAATGCGGTCACTGAGTTCAAGGTCAGCGAGCAGGCCAGTAAGGATGTCCTGAGTGCTGGGAAGATGAGCAGGAATGGCTTTGCAGCAGATATGAGGAATCCCATGAAGCCTTTCCTCACACACCCCCAGCTGGACTTCAAGCGGGACGATGAGACGATCCCCATGGACATCGAGCTGAGCACTGGTGTGGTGGCACCTGTGGCTGGACAAGGAGAAGAGTACGAGTGGGAGTATGCCGGCGTTGAAGATGAGGGAGAAGGGATTGAGATGGTCCCCATCCCAGCTGAGTTTGCAGAGGATGAGGCTCATGCTCGAGCTGATCGACCACGACTGCACGGATGGAGCAAGGTGGAGGATATGAGAGCCAGACTTCGAGAGCTCAAAGAGCCCATCTATGGTGACAAGCACACCCTGTGGAAGAGGTTGCAGATTGCAGGGAGAGCCTTGTCGATCAGGAGGGCACGGGCACGTGACTATGTCGAGAGAAACTCTGCCCGACAGCAAGCCTTGCGTGAGGGCAGGGAACCTGACGTCTCCTATGTGCCAGTACCCCAAAAGCCGGACACGGAGGAAGTGGAGCGGCACCTGATCACACATCTGCCGCCAGCACCTTGGTGTGAGTTTTGCACCAGAGGCCATGCAATGGATGATCCGCATCGACGCAGAACAATGGAGCAGAAGTTGGCCGAGAATCACTTCGAGCTGGATTACAGTTTCCTCAAGACAGACACATCCATTGCAGAGCGGTTCGAGGAGAGCTCAGATACAATCCTCTCCATCGTGAACAGTGGCACCGGGATGGCCCTAGCAATGTCCATCCCTGGCAAGAACCTGGAGACGCCCTATGTGATCAAGACGGTGACATCCTTCATAGCACAGCTGGGCTACATGCAGGTGAAACTCAGAAGCGACAATGAGCCCGTGATCAAGAACATCGTCGCCAAGATAGCTGGTGCCTTGCGAGAAGGGAAAGCCCCAGGAGCTGAAGGACTCAAGGTCCAGTTCGAGGAAATGCCAAGGTACTCATCTCAGAGCCTTGGAACCATGGGAGCATTTCAGAAGTTGCTCCGTGGTGATGTCCTCACCCTCAGGTACAAGACGGAGGCGAGCTATCATCACGCTCCACACCTCACACAACCTGTGGCCATGGCTGGTGAGGTGGTGCTCATTCATCAGGAGCAGATTCAGCGTCAAGGGCAATCAAAGGACAGCATACCAGGATGCCTTCGACACGGCATACACTTCGCAGCTGGTGCCCTTTGGTGAGACTGTGCTCTTCAAGATCCCCATGAGTAAGGCCAGGAGATCCCATAACAGGGCACTGGTGCCCAAGGGGGAGATAGCATGGCGTCAGGGCATCTTTCTTGGGAGAAGTGTGACCAGTAATGAATACTTGCTGGGAACAGAGGAAGGGACAGTGACGGCCAGGAGTGTGCGCAGATTGGCTGACAGCAGCAGGCGCTACAACAGAGAGCTGATGGAGAAGATGATTGGAGTGCCATGGGACATGGGCACGACCATCGGCAGGCCAAAGAGGAAGGCTGACATTGCCTTGTTTGAGTCGCCAAACCTGATCCCGACCGAAGAGACGGCCAACAAGAGCCCCAGGCTGGAGCCCAGTGGGGAGGTCATCCAAGAGGAGGACGCGGGAGACTTTCCTGTGCAATCAGGTCCTTCGTCGGCATCAAGACCTACGGCAGATGTGGGCGGTCGTGAGGCAGCACCTATGGATTTGGGCATGTCTGCAAGACGAGCATGGGCAGGAGAATCTGGCAAGATGACTCCAGATGCCAAGACGGCTCGCGTGGCTGGGATCTTTGTGGGTGCACTGTATTCACCAACAGAAGACACCATCGTGTGCGAGGATGACGTGGACCAGGCCTATGAGGACTCGGACAATGAGGAGAGCAAGCCTTTGAGCAAGGAAGAGATGGATGAAGGTGATGCAGAAGAATTCCGCAAGATGGACAAGTACCAGACCTACGACCCTGTGGAGCAGAAGGATGGCATGAAGATTTTGGATGCCGTCTGGGTCAGAACCCGGAAGCCAGATGGCTCGGTGAGGTGCAGGTACTGTGTGAGAGAGTTCAAGCGGGGAGACCCGCGCACGGACGTGTTTGCGGTGGCATCCAGTACCTCAACGTCAAGGGTCATTGACATTGCGGGCATCAAGATGGGTTACAGCTTCTTGACAGCTGATGCGGAGAATGCATTCTGGCAAGTACCAATTGCAGAAGAAGCCTACATGAAGCCTCCCAAGGAGTGGTTGAAGAAGATGGCAGACAGCGGAGTCGATCTACCTGATCGTGTGGTCTGGAAGCTCAACACTGAGTGGTATGGCAGGCGCATTGCTGGCCAGGCCTTTGTGGAATGGGCAGCTGGGCATCTCAAGGAGGTGGACTTCAAGAGGAACCCAGCAGCACCTTGGATGTTCTACAACCCGGCCAGTGGCGTGTTGATGGAAGTGCATATGGATGACTTCTATGCCACCGGACCAAAGGCAGCTTTGCTGGAATTGGAGAAGAAGCTGCGCGAGAAGATCAAGATGAAGAGCCAGATCCATGAGAACCGCGTGGGAGAAAAGTGGACGCACCTCAAGAGGACCCGTGAGGTCATGGATGGTGGCATCTTTCTCACGCCTCGTGGCAAGTACATCAGCGACTTGCTGAAGATGTTGGGTTTGGAGAGTGCAACCCAGCTCCAACACCCTACCTGTGCTCGGAGGTCAAGGAGGGCAACAAGTTGAGTGGGGAGAGCTTGAGAATCTACAGGGCAGGAGTTGGCATCGCCCTGTACCTCTAGGACGGATGTGCAGTTCGCAGTCCGTGAGCTGACCGAGGACATGAAGGAGCCTACGGACGGAAGCCTACACAAGTTGCATCGTTTGGCACGCTACCTACAAGGCACAAAGGACTATGGCGTGTGGCTGCCCAAGAATGGTGAGATTGAGATCCTGAAGGTGCATTCAGACACTGATTGGGCTAACTGCAAGAAGACCAGGAAGAGCTGTGCCTGTGCAATGTTCGAGATTGGCGGCTGTTTGCTGTTCAGCTACGCCAGGAGCAATGGGTTCCAGGCATATCATTATATTACCATATCATTAATATCATTGTGCAAATTATACATGAAAACTATACATGTATATATATATAGTTATATGTATATATGAAATTTATTGAAATTTATTGTATAGATATATACTAGCTAGAGTTCCTACAAAGGGGGTTGAACCTGGAACCGGGAGTGTCCCATTTCTCGACCATAGCAAAAAGGTATTCCAAGTTCCTTCGGGTAGAAGAAAGAAGTCCTCAAGGAAGACTCTGTTTCATGGATTCTTTTGGCCTCTTCTTCGGAAGACTCTTCTGCGTCTTCGCTTTTCTCCTCTCCTGCCGCCGGAGTACCCGCTGGGCCGAATCTCGCGAAGCGGGTCTCGAGCGGCCTCAAGAAGAGAAGCCAAGGGCCTCGCAGATGTGAAACGCAGCCGAAAACGACGAGGAGGGGCGGTCTTTGGAGGGGCGTACAACGGGCACGTCTAAGGAGGGGCGGTCGGAGTAATGGTTCGGTGCGTGGACGGTGGTGTGGCCGCCTGCAGTGAGGGATTGTTCATGAAGGAAGTGTTTGCTTTCATCGGCTTCCCGCTCCAGATGGAGGTCTACCTTGACAGCAGCGCAGCTCGTGGCGTGTTCCAGCGCCAGGGAGTTGGAAGGATCCGACACCTGGAGGTGAAGTCATTGTGGGTGCAGGATGCTTTGCATCGAAAGCTATTCAGCTTGCATGCAGTGCCAAGCCAAGACAACACGGCGGACTTCGGCACGAAGGCTTTGGCAGTGAAAAGGTTCAATGTGCTAAGGCTGAAGCTGGGCATCGGATTGAAGGAGGAGACGGCCTACGAGCAGGAGACCAAGAAGTACACTGAGAGCATCAACTCCATTGCCCTCAGTGGTTTCAGCAAGCAGGCTTTGATGGTAGCCTTACTGACCCTTCTGCAGAGCGCAGAGGGAATGAAGACGGAGGAGCCCAATGCAGGAGATGGAGTGAAGTGGGGGTTCGATTGGATCTTCACGGACCTTGCTGTGGCCTTCGGCATTTTGCTGATCATGCAGGGCACGGCATTGTGGTGGTGCTTCCGGATGGTGGGAAGGCACCTTGCCTTGAGTGGGGGCTTGAGCTTCAAGCCGGCGCGGCCCGAGAGCAAAGATGTGGCCATCCAGTGTGAACGCAACACTGGGCGCTTTTCGGAAGTTTACATCTTAGAGGGCAGAGAAGTGTTTCATGTAGATTCCACCTGCCCCAGGCTGCAACAACGCAGCAGAGCTTACCAGCAGCTAAGGAGCTGCAAGTGCTGCCCAGGCTATGGAATGCCTAGCATCCCCTGGGCTACTGACAGTTGAAGGTCCTTGTGAAAGACAAGTGACGCACCCGTCTTTCAAGTGGGGTGCAAGGAAATATATCCAACATGTACAGCGTACATACAACCGCTTACTGAAGCCCCTTTTAGGCTGGAAAAGGCGCGCTACCCGCTTGCAAAGGTGCCAAACCCTCCAGCTGTAAATGTGACACATGCCTGGGGAACTGCACGCTTTGTAGCTGTGCTGTATCTCTTTGCTTTATTCACTGAAGTGGTGATCTCTATTTATCTCGATAGTACGGCAAAAGCTTGTCCTCTCTCTCTCTCTATATATATATATGTATGCCAGGAGTGCGACTTATTGGCGATCAACTTGATTACCAAGTCCAACGTGCTTTGGCCCTGGGGGTGTCCAGAGCTGCGGTGAATTGGGACAGGCTCCATTAACTCTTTGCAAATCGGAGAAGCCCAAAGATGACCAATTTCTGATATGGTGACACTAATGTGACACTGCTATTCATTCGGCCAGGCCATCCCCAAGAATTCACTGTCGAGAAATGAGTACCGAACTTGAAGATGGGTAGAATCGAGGACTGAATTGTGTTTTCCTTTGTTGTTCCAACAAGACGCTAAGAAAATTCAAGAGCGCTGGGTACTGGGAGCTATGTTGGCGCATGCTGCGGCATTTGTTTGTTGCTTTGGGATTGCTTTGGCCTCATGGCCTTTCAACACAGTCATTCGACGTGCCGATCATTTGGAACGCTTGGTGAAGTCTGTGATTTCACCAACGACCCGGGGTGTTCATTAGATTTGCTATTGAACTTGGGTCAACCACTCACTGACCAGTGCTTCGAACAAAAAGGTGTTGCCATGGAAAACCGGAGCACGTGACCTTTCTCTTAGCGAGGACATTCAGGTTGTTCATCCATCCCTCACAACCCTAGCCATGTCTCCAAATTGACTCTAGTCACTTTAGTCGTTGCTATCCTCGGGTTCATCGTTCCCCGCATGACATGGCCCCCTAATCAGCCAGACGTCGATCACAGTCTCGCTTGAAGAGCTTCGCTTCTCTCAGTCGATCGACTTTGACAAGTTCAAGCCGGTGATGTTGGCAGCATTGCGATCCTTGCCTCTTGGGCGTGAAGGAATCATATTCTTCAACGACTCAGAAGCCATGTGTATTGCCTTTATTCAGAATCTGAAATTCAGAACATTGTTTGCGTTGAGATGATCCAGGGAACTGGGTCTTCTACTCATGCTTGGGGACGATGAGGGTATAGTCCTGACTAGTGGGTGTGATGTACCAATGCCTGCCCCCGGCTGCAGCCTTGCCACGGTGCCAACAAGGCTTCCGAAGCAATGGAGCACCTTGCATGAGACATCCTGGGAGTGGTTGTGGACAACTGTGGCACGGAACTTGAATGAGTCCACCATGAAGGCAGATGGAAGCGACCTGTGCGACGTGTGAACAAAGCAGAGATCAAGGAAGTGTCGTTGATATATGTTCCTGACAATGAGATGGAATGCCAAGAGACACCCAGGGAAAAAGAGGGGTGTCCAACCCAGCAGGCTTCGACCTGTTTCGGAGAGTGGTGGAAGATTACAAGTAGGGTAGGGCAAGTGAAGCTGCTTTGGTGTTCCTTTTGAAGGCCATGTTCCAGCAAAATGCTTTTTCAAAGCGTAAAGAGGGGTGTGCTCTCCTAGTGCACAGGGACCCCATTAATAGATCGAAGAGCGAGAACCAGCTCTTGATGTTGCCCCCATTGATGAAGAGCGCCGATCACTGGTTCCGCAGCAGGTGATTTGTAGAAGCGATGTTCGTCGCAAACTGCGGCAATCACTGCCCTCCTTTGATTTCATGGCGGTTCCTTCTTCGCAGGTGCGGGCCTTTAAGCCGTACAATATCCGCATGTTCTCCTCGCTGCAAGAGGAGCAGCTTGCTGGGAAAATCGCCGAGGTCGCAGGTAGCTGGTGATGCTGATGTTGCTTTTGATTTTCACCTGGGACTTCGTGGACGATATTAGATGATATTATATAGATGAACACAGACAGCATCCTTGCACTGAACAATATTACATCATGGGCAGATCTGGAAACGCATCTGCAGAAGATGGCTATGACCATGTGGAACAGTCATTGCTTGCAGTCCAGCGGATTTGGTATGTCCATAGCTGCATCGACACTCAGGCAGCTGGACCGCTTCCGCAAGGACATCTTCACCGAATTCTTCGCGCGCAGCCAGGCAAGTCAAGACCTTTTCAAGCAGCCGCTTGGGTACGAGTTGGTGGAGACGTTCAGGATGTGCTTGGGATGTGTTTTGCATTGGATTCTTCTGGTACGGATATATATATATAGTTGTATATATATATATACATATTATATATATATATATGTGTGTACGGAGTCCCGGAGGGTCTTGGAAGTCGGGGTTTGTTGGTCATTATTAGTCGTATGGGATCAATCCTACCCTGAGGTCACAGACCAGGCTACGCTACATTGCTGATCGGGTGCTGCAGTCCTCCTCGGACATGTTTCAAAAGAACAAGGATGATGCATGGCTTGGAGGGGAGAAACTGGGCATGCGCGGCGGCGTATGAGGCGGCCTTTGATCTCAGAAGGAGCTTCAAAGAAACAACAACGTAGGATTGAGAGGGAACCCTTGGCTGACTGTATTTTGGCGGGCCTGGCCAGGAAATAAGCCACAAAGCACAGTCCGTGATATCTACAGTGGGCATGGATTTACATTGGATAATCATGGATGCGTGTTGTTGCCCAATGCTTGCCATATGAGTACTTTTGACATCATTTGTGACAGTGTGTGGGGGGGTTGGGGGTTTGGGGTCCACATCAGACATCATCTACCACAGGCTTGTTTCTTCAGACAAGGGTGCAGTATGCAATGCGGCTATGCACATGTGTTCTTGGCTCAACCACCCCAGCAACTGCATAGACATGTTGATGCCAAGCTAGTCGATTACTCAGAAATTGGTAGAGGCGGCGCGATCACAAGCTTTGGAGAACCTATGCGCCCCTGAAGGCATTTATGGAGGCCATCGCTAGTAGGTTGGAGGCCATCGCTAATATGTTGGAGGCCATCGCTAGTAGGTTGGAGGCCATCGCTAGTAGGTTGG